CTACTAATGAAAGAAATAAAGATTCGTATGTGAGGATTAGTGAAATAGAGCTTACGGTGTGTTGTAATTTTGTTGTATTTTCATTGGGTTGTATAGAGAGATGGGTTAGTAAATGAATCTATTAAATGTGTTTCTTTTGGCCAAAAGAAATAGTCGAAGACGAGTTCAACTGATTCAGCAAAAATGATCGATGACGGGTTGAACTGATTCTACAGACAGGTTGAACTGATTTTGCAAGTGAGTTGAACTAATTTTGCAAAACGAAGACCGGTTGAACTAATTCTGTAAAAATGAGTTCAACAAAAATGGTCAATGACAGGTTGAACTAATTATGGAAAATGGTCGATGATGAGTTGAACTGATTTTGCAAAATAGTCAAGGACGGGTTGAATTGATTATTCAAAAATAGTCGATGACAAGTTGAACTGATTCTGCAATAATGATCGAGAACGGGTTGAACTGATTCTACAAAATAGTCGATGACAAGTTGAACTAATTTGGCATATAGTTTTAAAACTGATTCTGCAAAAATAGTCGATGATGAGCTAAGCTTATAACATATATTAATTTTGTTGGAGTTGCGAGGGCTGAGTTCTATTAACAGCCCTAAAGACTTATGGGTATGACTGGTATTCTAAATCATTGTTTTCATGTTTTTGGGCTAGGCTTTAGTTGTTTTCATGTTTTCGTCTCTTCTTGACATGTTTAAAACTAGTGGAGTTACTTGAAATATAGTGGAACTTTTTTCTCTATATATAAAGCTTCTGAATTTGAACCACATTATTGCTAACTTATTTTGAGGCTTAATCTTTTTTAAAAAAAAAAAATTTAATATTATCGTTTATTTAAAATAAAATAAAAAATCTCTTTATTCTCTTTATTCTCAGGCCACACAACCCTTTTCTTTCCATTTTGATCGACAGCTACTTCCATTATTCCCTTCGTCTTTCTCTCCAAACTTCCTACACACAAAAAAAAAAGAAGGCATAGTTTTAATTAGGACTAACTGTCGATTTAGTTCATAAATTATTACCTCAATGAAAATTAGATCTTTGAATTATTTATTCGGTAAAAAAATCCCTAAAATCATCAAAGACTGCTGATTTTATCCCTAATATTATTTTCAAAATTATTTTATCTGATTTTTCATCAACTTAAGTCATATGACTCATTTTAGAGGGTAATGTCATCATTTTATTGCCTACAAACCCTTAACGGTGTATATTAGTTGCGAATCTAACGTCTTATTTACTTTTTAAAGTTAACTTCATACATTAAAGTTAACGTTTTATTTAGAAGGAATACAAATATGGAAACTAGATCAGAAACCCTAGAAATAGTATTCACATAGAAGGGAAACACAGAGAAGGATCTTTTTATCTGATTGTGGACGCCCACTCCCTTTATCCTCAGGCCACACAATCCTTTTTTCTTTTCATTTTTTTTTTCCCATATTGATCGATAGCTCTACTTATATTATTCCCTTTGTATTTCTCTCAAAACTTCCTAACCCAATAAAAAAAGTATAATTAACTATAAAACTCTCAGTCATAACAAATACATGAATATAAAATAAACAGACATAAGTTTAGTAAATTTAAATATAAGTACCTCGTTGCTTTTCTTAATTGGAAAATATAGAATAATGTTAGGTACACTAATTTTTTTAGACTAATTTGTAAACCATGTGATATTTCACTAATAGAAAATAAGCATATTAATCAACATTTAAATAATAATTCAATCATCAACAATCACATCATAGATTTACTAAGTTTGAATAACTAGTCTCTCCAGTATTACCCGCAAAAATAAGAAACAAAGATGAAAAAGAGAGAGGACGAGCTATATATAAGCAATGGTGTCTTGTAAAAGTGCTTGAGAATCAACTGAAAGAATTTTCATAATGCTAGGTGGACTACATTTTTAAATTAAATTTGTAAACTATATGGTGTGTTATAATAAAAAATAAAACATTAGTTTTTACCAAAGAAATAAAATTAAACATTAGTCAACACTTCTACACCACCTCATATTTTTTTATAATATTTTATAATTTTAACACCAAAATTAATATTAAATTACGAAGTATCAAAGAGTTCATGCTGCGTCTGCTGTCAGCGGCCCATCGTCATTTTCTCGAAGATACGACTGTGTCACGTAGCTAGCCTTGACTGCCGAATCCAAATTATCTTTATATTTTCTTATATTTTTAGAAATAAAGTAAAAATAGTTTGGGTTTAGCAGCGAGACGGGGACGTATTTGTGGGATCCAGAAAGAACCATCAGCCAAAAGCATGGAAATATGATGTTTTGGATCTAGCAAGGTCAGTCACGTCCTTAGATCTCTTAAATAAAGAAGAATACCTAAACATTAAAAATCACAATGATAAAATAAAGATACATCCCAAAATTTAAACTTATCCAATAATAATAGTAAGATAATAAGCATACTCCACTTCTTTTTTTTTTTAACTATTTATACTTCTGCAAGTTAAATAAGTCTAAAAACGGCATAACATGTTAGCCGGGGTAAAATACTAAGTGAGCTTTTACTTGATACATATTACAATCGAAATCTTTAATTTATTTTATTTTTATTTTACCTTTTTTTTGTTTTGTTTGAAGTCAAAGACTGTTTTGAATCCTCTACATTAAATTCATTTAAACTACAAGAAGGTGAAGATTTTGAATCTTGGGCAATAGACACTTGGAGGGATGCATTCGATTGGGATTTTGATGGATTTGAATGGATTTATACATTTATGGATTTGGATAGAGTGTAATTAATTTCTAGAGATTCTATGTAAAATTTTGAGTAATTCCATAGGATGTGAGATTTGTGAATGCTTAAAATAAAGGAACTTTTAGATCCAGGTCCAAAAACATAGATGGTTTTTAGGAGTGAGTCCAATTACCTAATTATATGTATTTATTTTTTTAATGCTCATTTTATATTTTCTAAAAATATTAAAAATCAATTAAAATCTTCTAATATTATGAAATTTCAACCCCAAAAAATATAATTAATATCTTATAACAAAAAAATATATATATTGACATAAATCTATCTACAAATCATTCTACCCTAACTCAAGTAACAAATATAAGAATGTATATCATACCTATAAGTAACATATGAAACTTAACTAAAAGGTAGAAAAAACATAATATATCTATAAGAAAGACACATGAATCTTACTTGATTATAAAAAAGAATTTATCATATAGGTAGATAAATATAATTAACCTGTGATATAGGTTGATTATAAAAATAAAAAATAAAATCTATAAATGGGGTTTAAAACGGGATAAAGAACAAGAAAGAACAAAAAAAAAATAATAATAATCAAAGAGATAATTAGGAAGAAATTTGATTTTTATAATAAATCTTATCATTTAAGAGATAATTATTGATAATAAAATAATAAGATTTAAGGAATTGGACTTATTTTAATAAATTGGACTATTCCTACTATTGGCTCAAAAAATTGGATCTATATCAAGTTTCCCTTTTAATAAATTGGACTATTCCTACTATTGGCTCAAAAAATTGGATCTATATCAAGTTTCCCTTAAAATAACTATCAAATTTCTCAAATTCTCTCAGACTCCCCAACTTTTTAAAATTCTTTAAAATTAATTTATGCTTGAATACATCAAGAATGTTATAACTCTTTTAAAATCTTGATTGAATACGCTAAACTTTCAAATAATCATTTAAAATCATAATTGAATACTCCTAAATTTATAAAGAGAAAGAAATTAAATATCTCAAAATCCCAATCTACCACACTCCCTAAGTTGAAGTAGAATGTCAATTCTACTCCAATAGTCTGAGTAAATGGGCCAGAAACCCTAAAACAGAGCAAGGGAGAAAAACGAAGGCCGAGTCCTCCTGCGCGTATGGCTGAAACGAGAAAAAACAAGCGGAAAATGGGAATCCGTAGAGGAAAGCAGATTCCAAGAAAACAGCATCCAAGTGGCCTCCAATCAAAACCAAACCAAAGCTTCAGATAGCTCCTCTCAAAGATACCATTCTCTTTACTTTAAGAATCCCATTTCACTATCTAAAAAATTTGGTGCATTTGATTGGATTGTGTAGAATTATCTGATTAGATTCGTTAAGAGACGCCGGTATCACTTGCTCTTGGAGAAATGCTTCTATGATTATCGAAAACAAAGGTTTTTGTTGCCCTGCGCAACTTTAGTTAGTAGCTTTAGGAGACCAGCATGAGTGAGCAGCCTTCACGATGGCTGCTGGTCCGGCTACGTGTGAGAAAGACATCGAGGTTCCAGAGTCTACGGGTAACATGAGCGCATTGAGATCAGGCTATTAATTTATCCAAGAGCTCAAAATTGTGAGAGTAGACAGGTAGAAAGAGAAGTTTATAGGGCGAAACGAAGCATTCGAGTCGTACAAATTGCATTATTAGTCTACCTTCAGAATATCAGGCACCATTAGCTTAAGGTCCTTTTTATATATAGCAGTCATCAAATTGAATAAATCTATCAGATGAAATAAACATGATTAAACATGAATGTGTTGAGAAATAAAAAATGCATGTGATTATCAGTTTCGTGCATATAAATGTTTATGCAGAAACCAACTGTATAAGGAAAATAGAATTTATTTAATTCTCAAGACAAGATCAAAGATACATTGGCAATTTAAATCGGGGCAAAAATTGTAAAAAATGAAAACCTTTGGGTAATTGCTCTCTCAGACAGGAATTAGGGTATAGCTATTTAATCTGAAGAAAACGCCATGTCATAGAGATGAGTTCGATTACCGGTCACTCTTCATAATGCGAATTATGGGCTCAAATCGAATACCAAATCCCTTAACTTCAGATGTTTTCCCCACAAACACCAAAAAGAAAAAAAAAAAGAAAAAAAAAATTCCCTTAACTTCGGATTTCCCTAAACCAATTCGTTGACTTACACCCTCGAGTTGCTCCATAATATGTTCCGCTAGTTCTCCTACATCACACACTTACTCTCCTCAACCATTACTCATACATTGATAGCAAATAAAGTGGGGCTAACATATACATAAAATTATACAACAGGCTCAAAAGTCAGGAAATTATAACTTCTTTGATCTTTTATTGTTTGACCTTATTAGTATTATTAATCTGAGAGCACGGCCCACAACAGATGGGTATCCATCGCCTTTTTTTTTTTTTTTGTTTATTTTAATTGTTATGGCATTTTCTTTAGAGATGAGTGACAAACATTGTTATTTATCTGATATATGTTGACCTAGGCTGTGATGCACCAACAGCACGCATTATTGGCGGTCCAATGAACAATTCGGTCTCCACCTCAGAACTCATGCTACCTTGGCTCCTGTAGTTTACAGAAGCAGAAACTCCTGCTTTTTCATAGCTTAAAGAAGTAGAAGCTCCTTTTTCTTGAGCTGAATGCTCCATCCACAGCTTTGCACCACTCTGAGCATATCATCATAGTGCAGATAAATAAACAAGGGAAGAAAGAAAGACTAGAAAAATTCACAATGATCGGTTTAAGATTCTTGTCATGATATAACATCACCTCAAACCTCATTCACAGCACGTAGTTGTTGGTAAACAAATAATGGCAAAAGAGTTCAACCGGACTAGTTTACCTGTTGACGTAATTTTGCATTCTCTTGTAAGAGGAGAGTCTCCTGATTTTAGAAGAGAGAAAGGTGTTAGAACTTGTAACTAGTGAAGCAGTTGGACATATATCTGTAAAAATTCCAATGAATAGGTTTTGTAGCACTAAAATTTAAAGATAAATTGGCCGCAATTGATCATTTTTCAAATCTCAATTGGTGAAATGATCAATTTCAAGCTTGCCATTGATATTTGACCATTACGTCATCAATATTTGACCATTGTGTTGTCGATATTCGATTATATGCTGTCAATATTTGATTATGATCAATTTAGCAATTACAATTTGATTTTATGATCATTTTAGCAAATAAATAAATACCTTTGCCTTTAGTTGTTCCATCTGCTCCATGAATAATTGTGCCTGGAGTCACTTCAAGTTAGTTAAATTCCAATAGAAAAAAAAAATCCATTTAACTGATACGAGTTGGGAGGAAAATGGACTTGTGACCATCAGCTGAAATACATGTACATAAGTACCTTTCTCTCTCTTATGCTACGTAAACTTCGTTCAAGCTGGCTACTCATCTCTTGGAGTTCTTCAACAAGGCAAGAATCCAAATCATTTCCCAAAAGCTTCCTAAGACATACAAATTTCAGAGTTTAGGAAAACCTGAAATGTCAGTTGAGTGAAAAAATGCGGGAGAAGACGATCAAACTAAGCCATAAACCTTTGAGTAGCTTCTAGGATCTCAATCTTCTTGGCCATAATAGCTGATTCATACTTCAAGTGCTGCATGCATGCAGAATAATTAGTTTTCTCAGTTAAAAGTTGTCTCATATGAGGTTAGATTTAACAAAAGATGAAAGCAGAAAGTTAAAAGGGCGTGCGGAAATCACATCTCTAACAAAATTGTCCAAAAAACAAACATCATACCATCAGCGGCCCTCTCCCTAACTTCTCTTTTCTTTCACCCATTTTCATTTGACGATCATGTGTCAATGTAGTAAATTAGAGATGATGAACATATTGGAGAAGGATTATCTCCCCTTCAAATTTCCTTCATCTCCAGTCCCCTCTTATTTAAACGGTCACGATTAAACCATGCCAACATCTTGTGTTGACTTCTTTATAAAGAGAGAAAGACAACGTGGAAAGTGAGAGTGGAGAGAAAAGGAGGGGAATGAATTTGGATGTTAGAGAATCCTACTCCGAACAAATTCAAAAAATCTTGCCAGCAATTAAAATCTTATGGTACTTAACATACAGACACAATTGCGTGTGCATCGTAATGATTTTCACATAGCTAGAAGATAACTATAAAGCAAAGTTGGGGTTTTCATAGTAGTTTAGATAAGTTAGATCCCTGTAGTTCGAACTATGTAACATTATTTTTGGATTGATGTGAGTTTGATGAATGTGAGTCCCATCTATTAATCGTGAAACTCAAATGCATTTTCTTTTCCTTCACTTCATTATTGGTTGTTCTCCTTTCTCTCTCAAAATGGTTAGCCCACTATTATATGAATCAAACTCATGAGAGCTATACATGACACTTAACAATTGGACTCACTCTTGTTAAACTAAAAATTTCCGACTTACTATGCTTGTTTGATTTTTATTTATTAGAATGAAACTCAAATTTGCTGGTTCACTGTAGAGGTGTGGAGTTCCTAACAACTAGTTCTTGATTATCTTCTATATATATTGTTAAGAAAGGTGCATAGCAAAACCAAGTAGGACGAACAAGAACCATCCCAGCAAGTGATCTCAAAAACACTTCCCAGGAATGTTAACTGATTAGGCTAGTAGATCCCTCAAAGGCTTGGTGCTTCTGTCCCCACATAAACCACAATAACCCTCTTTCCCATGCCCACCTTTGGCATTACAAGAGATTCCCAGAGAACCATAAAGCACCCAGAAATGCCTCCTAGGCTCCTACTCAAGTTATGTATGGCAAAAACGAGTTCGCCATTTGAGCATGCAACTAAGCAAGGAGTGGTGCTTATTACTCACCATGTACCTCCAGCACACCAGTAAAAACGAATTTTCAATCTCAGCTGATATGAAGAAAATCTATCAAAAACTTCCCACTTAATTTTTCGCGTGCACACACATATACATATGTATGTATATCCCAAAAAGTTAACAACTATACCTCCAGAAGGCATGTAATTTATCCAATTTCTGAACCCTTTACTTCCCTGGTGGAAGGCGTTGTTGCATACTCCCACCAAGCCACCGGAAGCAACTAAAATACTTGCAATTTGTTCAACAGGCCTAAATTTAACAGATTAATTTTACATTTAGTAATGAAAAAGAAATAAATCTTGTTCATATATACTCAACCAGTTCACTTCAAAAGAAATGATTGAGTAAAATGCTATAGTTCTCGTTCTTTATTAAGTCATGTATAAATTGATCTTCTTTCCACCAAGATTTGATGTAAAGTACTACCTTCTTCTCTATAAATTAAAGGATGCTAAAACAAATAAGCTAAAAGAGGTCATAGCCTTAAAGAGAAAGCTAAAAGTTGTTTTTTTCTTCCCTAATATAGTTATATCAGTAAGACTACTCTAAATGCAATGAAGTCTATACTTTGGACAACATGCACTTGCATACTATCTTCCATCATTTTGAAGATTATGGCCAAAGACTAAATTCATCACATCAAGATTTTTTAAGTTTCCTTACAAAATCTGAAATCTAAAAGATTGGATTTTCAAAATCCAAGATAGAGCTTCTAACCTGCACATGTTGCTCCACTTCAACCTTGTTGGTTTGCTCATGATCTTTTGCATATTTACGGTATCGTGTTAGAGTCTCTCGCATGCTGAAGCATCCAGAAAAATAAAGTCCAAAATATCAGATAATGATGAAATCATTGTACTCTATTCATCCTAGTATCTCTTAACAATATGATATAGATGACATTTTGCAATGATTCAAGTTTTCTGAAATCTCATTCAATTTAGTGGACAAAATCTACATAAATTGTTGCAAAGTACAGAATGCACCATAGTTAACAAAAAAGCCAGCCAGCATTTAGACCTACACACCTGTAAATTGCAAAAGGAGTAGGCTAATATCAATGAACTTGTGTTGATCATATAACTGTAATTCACAAATTATAATTAAAGTACAACTCGATCCATTGTATGCGGATGTGTTTTTAATGTTAGAATTCATTTCAGGTCAGCTTAATACAGCTTGGTTGCTCCCGTTTCAAACTCAAAACGGCTGCTGATGTCCCGTTCACGTTAAATATATGCTAATCGCAAGGAAATAGATACGACGGATGATAACTAGAGCTGGTGAGTTGAAGTAAAATTGGTCAGTGGGGTATAGGATACGTCTAGTGAACTTCATTTAAGTAGAAAAAGCAAAACAAGAGGCCAAAATTATTTTGTAAAAGTTAAAACTTTGAGTACACAAATCTGGCTGGGATGTAGTTGAACAAATACACAGTGTACTAAATATATATCTGAATTGATATGATTATAATTACAAGGGTAAACATCATGTGTAAGATGTATGGTACAAATTAAACATAAATATATATAGGTTGTCAAGTACTGATTATGACTAGAACTAATAGAAAGCTCGAAATCTGTATTGTATTTTTACATCATATATAGTACACCCTAGCATTAGCACCAGGCACCAAGCATCACAAGTACCCCATACCTTGTTGTTTCATTTAATGAAATTAAGCATATAGAACAAAAGAAAGATGGGGTTTCAAGAATTTATAGAAATTAAAGAATACGTACTCAGAGCTGCAGAACTCATAGAGCTTGTCTTTCTGGGAGAAGATGATGACTGCAACTTCTGCATCGCAAAGAACCGAAAGTTCATAAGCTTTCTTTAACAAGCCGTTTCGACGTTTGGAGAAGGTCACTTGCCGGCTTGCGGCATTCTCAATTCTTTTCATCTCAATCTTCCCTCTCACCATGTCGTAGCTTTGCCTAATTCATCATTCACCACCATCGTTAATTGCAAAATAAAAAAATAAAAGCAAAAAAAGCAAAAATCTTATAAAATTGGTAAAGGTAAGAAACATATATAGCTCAAATAGCTATCTATAGAAGGGTTTTTCAGAAGCAGTACTGAGACAAAGATTTACAACCTGCACCCAGGAAGATTTGAAGAAGTACTTTAACACTAGAAAAAAAGTCAGATTTATGAAGAACGTCCGGTGACAACGAAGAAAACCCAGGAGATAGTCAACTTTGAAAACCCCAAAGAAGTTCTGAAGAAAAAGCAAATTATAGATGAACCCCAAAAGGATATATACAAAAAAAATTCCCAAAAACATGATAAATTGAGTTTCTAAAAATAGAACCCAGAGACCCCATAAGTGTTAATTACCAAAAGAACACAGAAATACACCCCCAAAAAAGCAACAAGGACACAACGGTATTGGATCTGAAGGATACAGTTAAGGAAAATTGATCAGAAACCCTAAAAATAATATTCACAGTGCAGGAAACGCAAAGAAGGAATTTTTTATATGATTGTGTCCAAACTCTTTCTTCTCTTTATTCTCAGGCCACACAACCATTTTCCTTCCAAATTGATCGATAGCTACTTCTATTATTCCCCTTGTCTTTCTGTCCAAACTTCCTGCCCACAAAAAATAAAAAGTAAAAAGCATAATTGTAATTATAGAGTTCTCAATTATAGCAAATAAAAAATGAAATAGCTGATATAAGTGTAGTCAAGTTACTTTAACAGTATGCTTTCGTCTGAACTCAAATTTAAATTCTCACTTGTAGTAAAACATAAAAAAGTAATTAAATGATTCACCTCATTTCTTCTCTTATTTCGTAAAATTAAGAGTACAGTCAATTTGGACCTCACAAAATTTTTACGAATTTGTTTTAAACGACCGGTTTTAAAAGGTTTGAATGCTCTACAACTCTACATGAATTTTGGTAAATTATGTGGATTTGTACAAACTTCTTTCATGAATTCTTTAAAATTTATTTAACTTCTGCCAAATAAAATAATTTCTTTTCCTGTTACACAATTTGAAGGGAACATAAACCTTTATAAATTGATATAGAAATACAAATGAATCAAAATTGTCTTTTCATTTCTCATTTAATTGTGACTTTTATTAAAATAAAACTTAACTAACTAAAAAGAGCGACCTTATATTACATCAGTGTGTTTTCATCTGCTATGAATTCTCATTCTCGCAATAATAAATAAAAGAGTAATTAAATGATTCCATAACCTTATTTCTTCTCTCAAAGAAAGAGAAGAGGGAGTGGAATCTTTATAAATTCTTTTAATATAGGTAATCATCGTACAATTACTTGCGGATGAGCCAATAGAAACAGGCCACCGCATAGTCTGATGTCTGCAGACCGTCGTCATTTTTTACAAGATATTACCGTGTCACGTGCCAGCCTTGAGTACCGAGTCCAAACTTATTTTCCTTACATTTCCTAGTTAGGGTTTTAGAGCAGTTTCAGCATGAGAACTCTTTCCCTAGGCATTACACTATGTTATCCATTCAGTAAATAGTAATTGCCCTTAGGTACCGTTTGGTACGCAGACGGGACGGAACGGGACGGGACAGGACGGGACGGAACGGGACGGGACGGGACGGAACAGATGTTCTGTGTTATGTTTGGTACGCGCAGGACGGAACAAGACAGTTGTTCCGTCCTGCGTTTGGTAGCACATGGACGGAACGGAACCAAAAGATTAAAATGACTAAAATACCCATGTTCCGCTGTGTTTGGTACAATTTATGGGCGGAACGGGACATGACTCTTTTTTTTTTTTTTTTTTTTTTTAATTTTAATAAGTTGTTCAAATTTGAACACTATTATCCATTATTTTTTTTTCTTGGTCCAAATTTTAATAGGTATATGTTGTGTTTCACATGCAAACCCCTTTAAAATTTGTAATTTTTCCCGTTTTCTACACCTCCATTCGAATTTGTATTTGGGTTGCCTCCATGATAATTGGGAGGAACATGGTGAGCAGATTAAGGCCTTGATAGAGTGTATTAACAAATTGAAAGAAAGAGAAAAGAAGTTTTAACTAGGTCTCGAATCAAATGGATGCAGGTTGGGATTCTAACTCAAAGTTCTTTCACTAGACCACCATATAGAATAGATGATTTAATACAGTTGAAAAATTGCAAAACATAAAATATCACAACATTTTCTTCAATACACTTAAGTGGATGGAGAAATTCGCAATAAAAGAATGTGTAAAATTAATATAAGCATGCCTCAGCAAAAGCCGTGGGGCTGGATTCAATAACATCATCATCAATAGCCTCAACATCAATCGTATTAGGTGGTATGGGCTGAACTTGCAAAGTCGCTTGATTATTCTGAGGCACTGACTGAGTTGAAGTTCCCTCCTGTTCCCGACTGTCACCAGGTGGGGCACTATTGAGGTCCAAGTTCAACTCATTCTTTCTTCGCCGCCCTCTTGCATGTGGCGCCCTGGCCCCCCGAGTGCTCATGTTATATTAAATCTTGTATCCAAGTTGAAGATTTTAAAACCTACAGTTTTTTTAAGAAATGAAGTAATCTTATTCAAATACATGATTCACTTTGTCGGAAATCAAATGAAGAATTATAAAACAGAAGAAACAATAATAACATACTTCAGTATTTTCAAACCAAAGCAATAAAGGACATGACACTATGCTCTATCAGCCCATTTCCTTTCCTACAATTTTCATATCAAACAAGCCGACAATAAACTGTGCTGAACCATGCCAACGAATGATAAAACAAAAGTTTGATTATGATTCATTGTTTAACTTCGTTAACCTACCAAAAAGACTAGTGCTTCAGTTCCATGCCTCAAACCAGCACGACTAACCAAACTCTCACTACAATGTATTCAGTTCTAAAAGACCTCGGCCAAAGAATCTAGAATCGAAAACCCTAGTGGCAAAACACAGTATGGAAATTGACCGTAACCTGAATGAATTGGAAATCCTAATTGCAATCACACATTTCATCCAACTCTGTGACCAAAAAGTGATCACATTTTCACAACAAACAAAGGGCCTTCTACTAAAGCAGAAATCAAATCATAATCCATCAAGAAAATTGATCATTTGCAACTGAAATTTTCAATTTCCACTTAAAAGTCCCAATTTTTGAGCACCTAACGGCTCAAAAATTGCCGACCCAAGGCTAAAATTTCCGACTTCCATCAAAATCAATTTTTTTTCTAATCCCCAAACAACACGAGATAGGAATGATACAAGCATAAAAAACCATAAAATCGCAGTACAAATAAATAATAAATTCGCAGAAAGGAACCCTAGGAAATTAAGAGGCACACCAGAATCGAGATTCAACAACGAGAAATTGAGAATCTAACCTCCGACTTCTGGAATGCAAACGGGTTCAATAATTCGAAATTAAAATGAAAATCGTACCTTCGATCAGAGATTTTTGAGAGGGGAGGGAGTTACCACCGTCTGCCCCGAGGCACCGGGTCTGCAACCCAAAATGCAAATCCTCCGTACAGAGGAGAGAGAGAGAGAGAGAGAGAGAGAGAGAGAGAGAGATACCTGAGGACCACCAAGTTCGCAGAGCTGCTACACGGAAGAGGACGAGGAGGAAGGTTGCGAAGGGGACGAGGAGGAAGGTTGTGAGGCTGTACAGAAGAAGATGAGCAGGAAGATGTTGCGAAGGGGAAAGGGCTGTAGAGGCGAAGAGAAACGGCTGAGAAGAAGAGATTTTGTTTTTAGGGTTTGTAAACTGATTTTGAAGTTGTAAATTTTGAAAAAGACCAAGGGCATTTTTGTCTAAAAATACTTAATGAACGGTCATCGTCTTTGCATCTCATCGTTGCACTTCAATGGCCCTGGTAATAGGTAATAAAATATTAGTATTTTTTTTATTTATAAAATAATTTTATTGTAATTTCGGATAAGATTTTTAATCGTTCTTGTTGTGCCACATGTCATTATCCGAAAAGTTATAAAATAATACAAAATAATTTTATTTGTAATTTCAGATAAGATTTTTAATCGTTCTCGTTGTGCCACCTGTCATAAAATCCGAAAAGACAATTATTGGTAATGGATTTCCGACAAGATTTTTAATCGTACTTGTTGCGTCATGGGTCATTATCCGAAAATACGATTATTGGTGATAGATTTCCGATAAGATTATTAACCAATCACGTCGCGCCACGTATCATAATCTGTTTACAATCTTTGAGGATAGATTTCCATCAGATTTTTAACGAATGACAGTATGCCACGTGGCATTATCTACAACCTAATCATTTCTGAATCCTCTATATAATCCACCATCCATCCTCACAAATCTCACACCAATTTTCTCAAGATCTCTATCATTATTCATAGTTTCTGCTTCTTTCTTACAATGTCTTCTTCTTCCTCAAGGATGATATGGGAAATTGATCAGCAAGAAGAAGAATTGTTTAACCAATCAGAAGGAATGTTCAATCTCCAGGTGGCCCAAAATAAGAGGGAAGATTATGAGGAGCGTAAAATGAGAGATGAAGAAGAAAGAATGGCAAGAGCCTCACATTCCCGTCGAGTCATCCAATCTGTGGGTCAGATCTGCAGACCCAACCATTCTGGAAACCTTGATAGAAGTAGGCAACGACGAGGTACGAAACTTTTGGACAATTATTTTGTCTGTAATAGTGCATTCCCTGATACGTACTTTAAACGTCATTTTAGAATGGAACGACATTTGTTCAACAAAATTATGATTGCTGTTTGCAACCATGATTCTTACTTTGTGCAAAAGAATGATGTTTTTGGTGCTATGGGTCTCATTCTAGAGCAAAAAATTACTGTTGTCTTACGGATGCTTGCATATGGAGCATTTGCAGACCAAGTGGATGAGATAACGAGGATGAGGAAATCAACCATTCTTAAGCCCCAGATGAGGTTTTGCGGAAGTAATCGATTCTATCTACACTGCAGAGTACCTCCGGAAACCTACTGACATGGACTTGCAAAGGCTTCTGAAGAAGGGCGAGATGCGAGGTTTTCCTGGGATGATTGGAAGCACCGATTGTATGCACTGGATATGGAAAAATTGTCCAAGTGCATGGCAAGGCGCTTTTGGGGACAGAAAATGAGCAAAAAATATCATTTTGGAGGCGGTGACATCTTTTGATACATGGATTTGGCACGCCTTTTTCGGGGTTCTGGGAGCTCAAAATGACCTCAATATCCTTACCCAATCCCCAATGTACAACGATGTCCTGCAGAGAAAGGAACCAAAAGTCACGTACTACATCAACGGACGTATATACGATGGGCCATACTACCTAGCAGATGACATTCACCCAAGGTGGTCAACATTTGTCAAAAAAGTGCCACGTTTGCGAAGTGTAAAGGAAAAATACTTTGCAAGCTGTCAAGAGGGATGCAGGAAGGATGTGGAGTGTTGTTTTAGTATCCTAAGCTCATTGGGCGATCGTCAGGGGTGCTGCCAGATTGTTTGATGTAAAGTCGCTTCGATCCATCATGATGATGTGTATCATTTTTCACAACATGATTGTGGAAGATGAGTACGATTATGATGTCGTTGATGAATATGAGCCAGATACGATGAACAATTCAAGAACACGTATATATTGTGCTCATGATGTCACCGAAGAACCGTTGCAACATGAGCCATTATAAAGAGATGAACGTTCCAATGAATTGATCATTCAACGATATACTGCACTTCAAAGGCCATATATGCACAATGCCCAGCAAATTGATTTAATAGAGCACCAGTGGGAATTGAAACAAGCTCAAGATACTTAAGTTCATTTAGTGTGTTTGTTTTTCTTTTGGTGTGTTTATTTAATTTTATTTGGTGTGTTTCTTTTAGTTCATTTAGTGAGTTTTTTGTTATTTGGTATGTTTATGATTTTATTTGGTGTGTTTAAATGTCTTTTGAATAAAGATTCTCTTAGTAAAAATAAATTACCAAATTAAATAAAGTACTAAAATAAATAAATTGGAAACAACATAAAGTACTTTATTCAATAAATAAGAAATTACAACCCAAAGTGATTAGAAAATTATGGGCTCCGATTACAAAAAGTACTTTATTCATCATCACTTAACCAATTTGTGGTGCTAGGATGATCTTCTTTTGTCGTGCTAGGACCATCTCCTCTTGCTCTCGCTTCTCTTGCACGCCTCCTTCACACCACATCCGCTTTCTCCGACTTCCAAAAATATTTAGAATTTGGAGACTTCCCTTCTAAAGGCGTGTTCATAATATCACGATCTCGTTGAGCCATTCTTACTTCTTCTAACATGTTCTATTTCTTGCCTAAGTAGTTATTTAAGTAGTTATTTTCTCTCTCATTAGCTTGAAATGCTCTCTTAATAGCCTGCAGCATTTGCCTCATCTCTAGCCTTATCAGCCTCAAATTTCGTTATTTCCCGCGCCAAAGTCAATTCACCTTGGCGAGCAAGTTGTTACATATACTTTGCATAATCATTCTTCGAAGTACTCATTTTTCTCTTTGAAGTCTACTTACCTTCAGACCTAATTGAATAACGAGTCGATCTCGACGCTTGTTCAGGGGGGTGTTTCGGGCACTTCTTCTGCTTCATCTTCATGAACATGCGAGCCATGATCAGGTGTAGAGTATAGAGGAGTGTTGTTCATGAAAACTTCTGGACCGACATGCACAACTTTGAATTTAGGACAATCTTTGATAATATTCCAACATTCTCACCGGTTGAATGATTTATTTTTGGTTTTGGTTTTGGCACCATACCAAGCTTGTGCTTGAAGTTGCTACACAATGCGGGATAAGAAATAATTATAATGAAAGTAGGTAACAAAAAAATAATACAAACAAATAATTATAATGAAAGTAGTTAACAAATAAATAATAAAAACAAATAATTATAATGAAAGTGGGTAACAAATAAATAATACAAACAAATAATTATAAAGAAAGTAGTTGACAAATAAATAATACAAACAAATAATTATAAAGAAAGTAGTTGACAAATAAATAATACAAACAAATAATTATAATGAAAGTAGTTAACAAATAAATAATACAAACAAATAGTTATAATGAAAGTGGGTAACAAATAAATAATACAAACAAATAATTATAATGAAAGTAGTTAACAAATAAATAATACAAACAAATAATTATAATGAAAGTAGTTAACAAATAAATAATAGGGTAAAGTACAAAAAACTATCTTAACTATTGGGGTCACAACAGTTTCATACCTCATCTTTTAAAATTGACAATGTCATACCGCATCTTACGAATTTATGACAATGTCATACCTCCGTCAATTTTTCTGTTAGTTTTTCTATTAAATGCTGACGTGGCAAGAGACGGGGACCACTTTCTATTAAAAAATTAATAAAAAATTAATAAAAACTAAAAAAAATATTTAATATTTTTTAAATATTAAAATAATAAATAAAAGTAAATTTTAAAAAAAAGGGTAAAGTACAAAAAACTACCTCAACTATTGGGGTCACGACAGTTTCATACCTCATTTTTTAAAATTGACAACGTCATACCGCATCTTACAAATTTGTGACAATGTCATACCTCCGTCAATTTTTCTGTTAAGTGCTGACGTGGCTTGATTCGGGATATACTTTCTATTAAAAAATTATTAAAAACTAAAAAACAATTATTTAATATTTTTTAAATATTAAAATAATAATAAAAAGCAGAGAAAAAATAAAAACCATCAGTTTGTCCCTCCCCTCCCCCTACCCCTCATCTCTCTTCTCCCCATCTTCATTTTCTTCCCCCCCCCCCCACCTGCAAACCCAAAAAAATAAAAAAATAAAAAAAATTTTGAAAACCCAACAACCCCCCTGCAGAAGAACAAGAAGGAGAAGGAGGAGGAGGAGGAGGAGGAAGAAGAAGAAGAAGAAGAGGAAAAAAAGGAGGAAGGAAAAAAAAAAAATTCCCCCCCTGTCGGCGCGGAAGAAGAAGAAGGGAGAAGGAGAAGGAGGAAGAAGAAGAAGAGGAAGAAAAAATAAAAAAAAATTTGAAAACCCATCAACACCCTCCCCTGCGGAAGAAGAAGAAGGAAAAGGAGAAGGAGAAGGAGGAAGAAGAAGAAGAGGAAAAAAAGGAGGATGGAAATTTTTTTTTTTTTTTTTTTTTTTTTAAACCATCAACTCCCTTGCGGAAGAAGGAGGAAGAAGAGGAAAAAAACAAGGAAAAAAATTTTTTTTTTTTGAAAACCCATCAAACCCCAAATCCACCACTTTCATCCATTCTCCACATCCTCTTCCGCACCCATCCTCCACCTTCTCTGCGCACCCATCTTCCCACCGACGGGATCTAGGTTTTTTTTTTTTTTTTTTTTCTGGGTTGCAGGAGGGAGAAGAGTGTGGGTGTGGGGAAATTGAGTGTGGGTGTGGGGGGAAGACAAATTGGATTTTTTTTTTTTTTTGTTGGGATTTGCAGGTAGGGGAAGAAGATGAAGATGGGGAGAGGAGAGAGGAGAGAGGAGGGAGGAGGGGGGGAAGGGAGGGACGAAATGAGGGTTTTTTTTTTTTTTTTGCTTTTTATTATTATTTTAATATTTAAAAAATATTAAATAATTGTTTTTTAGTTTTTAATAATTTTTTAATAGAAAGTAGGTCATAAATCAAGACACATCAGCACTTAACAGAAAAACTAACAGAAAAATTGACGGAGGTATGACATTGTCACAAATTCGTAAGATGCAGTATGACATTGTCAATTTTAAAAGATGAGGTATGAAACTGTCGTGACCCCAATAGTTAAGGTAGTTTTTTGTACTTTACCTTTTTTTTTTTAAATTTTACTTTTATTTATTATTTTAATATTTAAAAAATATTAAATATTTTATTAATTTTTTAATAGAAAGTGGTCCCCGTCTCTTGCCACGTCAGCATTTAACAGAAAAATTGACAGAGGTATGACATTGTCACAAATTCGTAAGATGCGGTATGACATTATCAATTTTAAAAGATGAGGTATGAAATTGTCGTGACCCTAATAGTTGAGGTAGTTTTTTGTACTTTGCCCTTTATTTTAACTATAAAAACACCTAATAGACTTTATGGCAAATAGACTTCAAATTTATTTGCGATAAAATGCATTTTACATAGGTTTAATTTAAGGAAAACTAATGAAAAGGGGTTTAAAACTTTGAGTTTTAACAATAAGGACAAAATAAAGGGTAAAGTGAATTGTACCAAGATTGTCTTTTTAGTGTAAAAATGTAGTTTTTTGTTAAAGTGAACAGTACCAGAAGTTTTTCGTTAAAATTCTTTTTTTTTTTTTTTTTTACTATAAAAACACTTAATAGACTTCAAACTTATTTGCGATAAAATCTATTAGGTGTTTTCGTATAAAAAAAGTTTGTGACATCATTTTTATTAGTTTTCTATCTTTCATAATTTATTCAATGCAAATACTTAAAAATCACTTCTCATAGTGACTTCGGACGATGAAAAACTCATCATCGATTCTCCATATAACAAAAAAAAAAAAAGAAGATGGATTTTACATTATTTAAGATGAAGAGCACTTTTATTCGTAGTTATATATTCAAAAGGCATATGGAAAGGCGGCTTTCTTTGCTATATTGGTGGAAAAGGAAAGAATAAAGAGGAAGAAAAATATTCCACAGTATCTTGATGAAGTGATTTAGTATTGTTGTCTGATGTTACAGTCTGATTGTGAATGTAATATTCGACAAATCTATAGTGAGATGAGTTTTATTGCTGATCCATTGCCCAACCTGAGTCTCTCTAACAAGCTCAATATTTTTATAAGCAATTATCATTATCTAATATTTATGAAGTCCCTGAACCTCTTGACATTATTTTGTAGGTTCTCTTCGCGCCTTTGTTTAACCAAAAAAACTGTGTACATTATGAGGTACTGGTAGATATCTACAATTTGCAGCAAGATTTCAATCAAGTCCCTTCAATTAATGGTATCGGCGCAAGTAATAATATAAAATGTAGAATTTGCAGCCATTGTACTTGTGCAGGTTAATTAACCAGCTTATTCTCTAGCTAATCCATGGTTTAGATAACCACGTGAAAATAAGGAAGGGGATATTACGAGAAGAACAAGACTTGAAAAGTGTTTGTAGTTCAAGAAGGACTCATTTGAAAGTAGATTCAAATGATTAAAAACGTTTGTGGTAAAGACATTTTTTATACTAATTTTTAGTAAAAAATTCATGTGAATTTTAGGAAAACACAAGTATTTTTTGCAATAAACATATAATTGATGCTTCTAAAGCACTTAAAGTACTTTTGGAATCCAAAATCAATTTTACCAAAATTGTTTTCAATCATTTTAAAAACACTTCAAAACGAGCTCTTAGTTAGCAATCACCCTTGTATTTTAGGTCTCATGTTTTGTGATTGAATACCTCATCCCTCAAAATTGCATGTATAAAAAAGATTATAATACATTAGTTAGGTCCATATAATCGTCATTAAAAAATTTCATTTTTTACAAGAGTATTTTTCTTTTTATTTGTAAAACGTTAGAGCACACGATTAAATTTTAGAGTCTTGTATTCTTATATATAATATGTTAGAGAAATTGTAGCAATAGTCCCTTAATTTAAATCCAATTGGAGTAATAGTTCCTTAACTAAAAATCCACGGTCATTGGTCCCTTAACTCATCAAAACGTGTAGCTATGGTCATTTTCGTTAACTCTGTAAGAATTACGAAAAAATGAGTCATGTTGGAATGACCGTTGCTATAATTGGGTTCAAGTTGAGAGATCATTGCTCCAATTGAATTAAAGTTGATAGACCATTTCTCCAATTAGGTTAAAATTAATGGACCATTGCTGCAATTTTTCTCATTTAATTTTCCATATTAACCTCATGATTCAACTTCATATGCATGACATCTGATTCATTTTGACGAAAGTTCTAACAAAATTGACGAAAAGAACTATAACTGCACGTTTTGATGAGTTAAGAAATCAATATTCATAAATTTTTAGTTAATAAACCTTTAATCTAATTGAGTTAAAATTGAAAGATCATTATTATAATTTTCTCATCACATTATAATAGAATAGGCAAATTCCTTAACAATAAAAATTCCCTTTTCAAAAGAGTACATGATGGCTCAGCCCATAACTAGTAAGGAATCGGTAGGCCTAGACATGAGGAAATGGGCCATAAAACCCATAAAACGGAGGAAGCGAGAAAGCGAAAGAAAGGCATCGAATGGCTGAAACACGAACAACAAACAAGCGGAAAATGGCAGACCGGAGAGGAGAAGCAGATTCCGAGAAGACGTCCAATTGGCCGTCCATTAAACCAAAGAAATATCTTCAGATAACTCCTCTCAAAGATACCCATCTTTTTACTGTAAGAATCCCATTCCATTTTTATTTCAAAAATCTTGCATCTCTATTTTTTTTTTTGAAAAATTCAAATTTTTTTGACATATGGGTTCTTCTCAGATGCATGAACAGTATTTTGGGTTTAATTAATTATTTGAGTAAATATTAAAATTGGGATCAAAATTTGATCTTGGTGAAGATTATGGTGTAATGGTGGTCTGTTAATGGTTAATTGAGTGAGTTAAGGCATTTTCAGGTGCAGAATTTCCTGACTTCTGCAGAATCAAATGCTTTCGTTAAAGCTGCAGAGTCTATTGGATTTGTTCACCAAGGGAGTCTTGGCCCGACGAAAGGCGAAGCGTACAGAGACAATGATAGAATCTCTGTGAATGATACTGTTCTTGCAGATACAATATGGGAGTCTGGTCTTAACAAATTGTTTTCTGACATTAAAATTCGAGGGAGGACCGCTGTTGGATTAAACCCGAATATCAGATTCTATAGGTTGGTGAAGTTCATTTTGTTAATGTTGTTGAACAAGTTTGAAAACTTTTTGTAATTGTGAAGTGTGAACTGACCCCATGTATAGAAAACTCAACCTTTTGATCCTACAAATTGGGTACATTTGATTGGATTGTTGCAAAGAATTATCTGATTCGATTTGTTAAAGAATGCCCTGTCACTTGTTCGTATAGAAATGCTTCTCTATTTTACAAAAGAATGTGCTGTTTTTTGTTGTTCTGTGCACCTGGAAACTTAATTTTCGGTTGCAATGTGTTTTCAGGTACAAGGCTGGTCAGCGCTTTGGAAGGCATATTGATGAAAGTAATGATCTTGGTGACGGAAAACGCACCCATTATACTTTGCTAATATACTTAAGTGGTGGCGGTTTCAAACCAAAAGCTAAAAGTGATACGAGCAGTCTTAAGGATTCTTCCTCAGAGCCTCTGGTTGGAGGAGAAACAGTTTTCTATGGTTCAAGGAATAGTGTTGTGGCAGAGGTGAGTTATGTTTTCGTCATGTACCATATTGCTTTTATTCTCTACTATTCAGTTTCATTTTTATGTTCAACTTGATGTAAAATCTTGTTTCTTTCTTGAATTAGTTTTGCAGTAGTGTTTTTATGGAATATGGCATTGACTGTCAATCCGTGAAATTCTGTAGGTGCCTCCCACTGAAGGAATGGCTCTTCTGCACATTCACGGGGACAAATGCTTGCTGCATGAAGCCCGAAACGTTACAAAGGGTATCAAGTATGTATTTCGTTCGGATGTAGTATTTGCTTGATGTTTTGTTACGTGTATAAGCTGAAAACCTTCTTAAGGTTACTCAACCAAAAACATATAGTAACGGAAATGTGTATTATCTTCGTGACACCGCTTCATTTTTCATCTGAATTTCTTTGTTCTGAAGATATTACTTGGAGTAGACACTTGATACATATCAAAATCTTGTAGCAAAAAGGAAAAAAATGTAAATAAAGGATCCGGATACCCTTTTTTTCCTTAACTGAGTACGTTTTCTACTATAGAAGAAACATTATTGCTGGTTTCTTACTACATTAAGAGATGATAGAACCAGAGCATCATACTTCTAGACTTCTGTGGGGCAACATAGGCACAGTTTTCTTTGCTATTGTTATTTTAGTGAGGTAGGAAAGAACTTCTCTCGCCTGGTGATATATGTGTCCGATGGGTTGATTATCTTTGTTTTCTGAATCGGATTGGTAAAGAATACAGATGGAAGCACATTGTAGATTACTAGTGGAGATCTCACTACATCTTCATTTCTCCATATAATAGAACTTGAGTTATGTGTGGTCCGTTTACCTTCACACACAACGATTTCTTGTCTTTAACATCTGTGAGTGAAAGTACACATGGTTCCACTTTAACATCAGGCATATCAATCCTAACATTGTAGATTGTCTTGGGTTTGCCAGCATATGCAAGTCATGAAATTTTCCCTTGACCTTATGACCATCTTCTATAGCTAGAGCAAAAGAGGGATAGATGAGGTCCATGCCTTACCGGGTTTTGTGGTCCTACAAAAACTTCTGTCACCCGGAATTTTTCTTACTGTGGTTGTGTTGTAGCTTTGCTTGCACAGAAGGTCGATGTAATCTTTCTCAGATGCATCAAAAACTCACTCAGGAACAACTGCCTTGGTTGGGTTGAGAAGAAGTTTTGGAAGTTAGAGAGTAGATTGTTTGACATACCTGTGGTCCGAAGAGCGAATATAATTGCTGTAAGAGACCACCGTGGGTGAGCAGCCTTCACGGTGCATGGCTGGTGCTTCGGTTGCCTGTGGGCAAGACATTGAGATTCCGGAGTCCGCATGGTATTTGACACTCCTTGCGTCCTTGGTGTAAACCGAAGATCTTGAAACGGCTGACCAGGGCCGAAAGGATGTTAACAACCGGCACAATGATATCAAGCTGTTAATTTTATTCCACAGCTCAAAATTGTGGGAGTAGATACTATGAGAATTTGTTCTGGATTGATGAGTGTTGTTGAAAGGGAAGAGAGAAGGCAGGATCGTCAACAGATCGAAAAGGCATTACGACACTGACTCCGTCGTTCGTGACAATGCCAACCCGCCGTTTGATCGGAAAATAAATTGACTTAACAATGCGAAAAAACGGATATGATTAAACACGGCTGTGCAAGGGAAGAAAAAAAAGTGTTGACGTGTTAACGTGTGTGCAGAAACCAACTGTATAAGGAAAATAAATTTTATTCTCAAGACAAGATCAAAGTTACATTAGAGATTTAAATCGGGAACAAATTGTAAACAATAAAAAGGAAAATCTTTGATCAATCACTCTCTCGCGATCAGATTATTCCGATCAATTCACCACACGGCAATTCAGTCTCACTTCACCATCCTCAATCACCCCAACATTTCCGAGATTTACCATTGAAGCTGCAAACTCTTTGAAGAACACACTTTGATCCTTGGCGAACGACTCAACAATCCATCTAGTCCTGTAATCGCTAAACAACGCTTGATCCGATCCAAACACGCCCTTACCTGCCACCAATTGCTTGTAGTAATTGTTATCAAAAGTTGAGGAAGTTGAGTCCAACAACTCTCCGGCTGTGCTATCCCTGTTTGGCTTAGAGCATTTGGTTCTTAGCTTCTGAGCAAGTTCTTTGTTCATGGTTGGGTCGATGTCGTGCACCGGACTAAAATTCCGAAGCCGGGATTCGAATGAAGAACAATGTGAGAACCCTAGAGTGTGGCCGCCAGATAGAGCAACCAAATCTGTAACACCTAAACCTCTCTTAGCAAAGCTTTGAATCAATTGGGACACGTTGAAAGTTGGAGCTGGTAAGTTGATGGTCTCATTAGCTCTCGACACCCTTCCGTCTTTCCTCCCTTTTAGCACATTCCAAAACGGACCTCCGGACTGACAAAAATGATGGTACGTACATCAGTTTCTTCTACGTTAAGCATTTGTATGGCAACGTGAGAACTTAAGTGCATACATACCATGATCAGTACATCTCTTGCAGCAATGCCGACGATATCAGCACAAGAAACTGTATGTGGACATGCGGCTTCTAGATTGGATTTGGCATCGTCAATCACGTAGAATGATCGGACTGAGATATTGGGAGGGCCGTCTTTCTCTGCTTGGTTTCCTGCGGTGGAGTCTAGCAGCAACGACGCATCGCATCCCTAACCAATTAGAAACATAAATTAATTCTACAAAAAATTTAGACGATATATAGACAAGCTTATTAGCGGGGATTTCGCTCTACTGTTCATGGAGGAGAATAACATAGTGCAATAATATTGCATGTATAGTGACCAAGTAATGACCACATAGCTCTACAGGATAAGGGATGTTATGTAGGCAATATAGGGGATAATTTAAGTGTGTGTGTGTGTGTGTGTGTGTGTGTGTGAGAGAGAGAGAGAGAGAGAGACTGTACCCTTATGAAACAATCATGGAAGAACATCCTTAAGATACGAGCTGGCACTTTAGGGTCATGCATGGAAGCATTATACACCGCTTGTAATATAATTTTCTCAGCTTGTGGACACGTTTGATCATAGTACTGAGCACTGAGCGCTGCTTTTGACCGTGAAAACCTTGTTGAAAGCAGTAACAGTAATGCATGGAGGAAGAAGAAGAAGATTGTTTTTGGTGCAAACACAGCCATTTTCTCTGGGACAAATGAGAGGTAGGAATTAGGGTTTAGATATTTTGAAGGTGCTGATAGAAATTTTATATATAGGATCATTATATGTATATATACATTTTCAGCATTTCATGTATATATGTTATATGGATGTTGATCGTACTTTTAAGTTACTCAATAGAGAAACAGCCTGCATTGTAATATAGTGAACGTGAAGTACTAGAACTTTGACCCTGCTTTTGGCCATGTACTGTGCTTTGAAACCAAGCATATCCACCTAAGCTGTTGTTCTTGGTCCTTGGAGGACCAACGTTTTGTTGAATGGATTAAACTTGAAGATTATTCTAAAAGAAGCAAATTTCATATTTGAATATTGTTAAAGTATGATCAGGTTATTGTTGGCTTATATCTATCAGGTTGGTTGTGCTTCAGGTTGGTGAGAAAGTGGGAATAATGTACAACAATTTCGTAGTACTACTGCAAATAAGATAAAGAGGAGGGTGAAGTTACTTCAAATTTATTTGTTTATATCGAACAAAAATTCATAGTTGTAGCCATCCAGACAAGCTGGATGGCTACTCATTTGAACCACTAACCTTATATTTTAGTCCGATTCACCATTATCAGTCACATGATCATATCTCCTTATGTTTTGTACTTTATATATGATTGTACAAATACAATAATCTACCAAGACAAAGACATTAGTTGAGTGGCCTTAAATGAATTTTGGCTTTTTAAGTGACCAAACCACATGTATTCGGACTCTTAGAAAATTGTATTATCTATTTTGATAATTTTATTGGCACTCGATGCGGATAGATTTTGGCATATAGGTTAATTTGTCTCGTATTTCTATCTCATTTTTCACGTGATTTGATTAAATTCTCTTATTTTCAAATTATTTTCTGACCAATTAATTCTTGTGTGATTGTTAAATATTAAGGCAATTCAAAATAGGTTTTTTAGCCAAAATGATTTCTAAGATTGTGAGATGTAATGTTCTCTGAGTTTGTCCACTACCAATCATTTTGGTCATTTTATGAAAAATCTCCATTATATAAGAACAAAATGGCAAAAATACTCTTAATTTTTGTCAAATCATTTTGGTTCATTGTATTTTAAATTAAAAATATTTTTGTCATTTTGGTTCTTATTTAATAGAATTTTTACAGAAAAACCGATTCATTATGGACAATTGATTCAAATGTTAAAAATTAAGGTGGTGAGTTACTCCAATATGAGTACACCATTTTGACTAAAAGCCTTCAAAATATTAAAGGCAAATCAAAACAAAACAAATAAAAAAAAAAAAGTCACAATTTGTTAGGCGTGTGATTTGAGTGTTCTTGATAATTACGTGGCATGTTCTTATTTGTACAAATCGTTTTCATCAAAATGAACGACTCTGCAGGTGGTCATCTCCATGCAATCCCTAATCTGAAGGTACGGAACTCACAAAACAAGGCTCATCAACGTGTCAGCATCTCCGTGGTCCATGATGTGTGCGCAACTCTAAGAACCGTTGATCGGAACCCCTTCCCCTGTAAATAAATAAATCGTTCCGGGAGGGTCCCTAAAGGGAAAAAAAGAGGATAAGTGGGGGCTCTTCTGATTCTATCTCTCTAGGGTTTGTTTCCACTCTCTCTCCCTCTCTTCCCTCTCTTTTTTCTGTTCCTTCTAAGTTTCATAACTGTTCAAATTATTTGATTTTTCTTTCCGTAATTAGTTCATTAATCTTATCTAATCTAATCCTCCGCCGAAGTATGAACAGAGATTCAAAATCCCAGTAAAAAAAATCATCCTTTGTTCTTGCTCTGTTTCAGCAGCTAACCCAGATTTTTCCTGCTTTTAAATTCTTGAAATTTTCTCCTTTTTTTCAGCTTGATTTTGTGTTTTTCCATCTGGGTTTTTCTGGGTTGTTCAATTTTTCTGAGATTCTTGAACTCCGGCAGATTTTTGGGTTAGTTTTTTGGTGAAGAAGATGAAGTCGAATCAAAGGCAGAGCCTTGAAGAAAGCAACGAGCTTGAACGCGGTGCCGACAGTAACAACACCGCCACCTCAGGGTCCAGTCCATCGGTGGCGAATACTCCGGAGCAAAACCTTCCGGCGACGGCGCTGATGATGAAAGAAGAGCTGGCGGACCCAGTGCAACAGTTAGACCAGCAGGGATCTCTGTCCATGGGGATTGTTCCGGTGCCCGTTTCTACGGCACCGAAACCGGCAAGGAGGTCGTCGAAGGACCGCCACACGAAGGTGGAGGGCCGGGGCCGGAGGATCCGAATGCCCGCCACGTGTGCGGCCAGGATTTTTCAACTGACCCGGGAACTCGGCCACAAGTCCGACGGTGAAACCATTAGGTGGCTGCTGGAGCACGCCGAGCCTGCTATCATTCAAGCCACCGGCTCAGGCACCATCCCCGCTATCGCCGTTTCGGTCGGCGGCACTCTAAAGATACCAACAACTTCGCCAGCGAGACCCAACGGTGAAGTTACTGAAATACCTAAGAAGAGAAAGAAGATGAGAGGGTCCCTGGGTGAGTTCGATGACGTGCACGACCAGTCTAGCGGGTTGGCACCCATAGCACCAATGATTTACGGCGGTGGTGGCGGTGGCTTGGTGCCTATGTGGCAAATTGGAGGAACCGGCGCGGCTGGGCCTGTCTTCATGTTTCCGAACTCCGGGACGATTCAGAACCAGCCTCAGCTCTGGGCTATTCCGACGGCGGATTCCACGGCGCCGATTTTCAATTTTCAACCCAGAGCCATGTCCAATTTCGTCTCGGTCTTTCCAGCGGGGGTTCAAGTTGGCAGCGTTGGCGGTGGAGATGGGCAGTTGCAGGCTTCTTCGTGTTCGATTTCGAGCGGCGCAGCCACGGGTGGTGGTGGGAGCTGCTCTTCTAGTTTGGGACACAGTTTGGACTCGGCCCCGGGGACTAGTGCTGCTGCATCCGCCGCCACTGCTCCGCCGAGCGCCACCACTCAGATGCTGAAGGATTTTTCGTTGGAGGTTTATGATAAGAGGGAGCTTCAGTTAATGGGGCAGGCTGCAAATTCACAAACGCCATGCTCAGAATCTTGATTTGGAGTTTTTAGTCAACTAATTTCTAGTTGGGGTATTTTTTTTTCAGACTATTAGAGGGTTTAGGCCCTTTTAGCAATGCACCAAAGAAGCCATTCTGTTTTTGTTTAGACTCAACGGTCCTTCTTGGCTTTTGTTTCTACTTTTGGCCTTAGGTTCAAGTTGCATTTCTTATCAAATTAAATGGAGATTGTTCAATAATTTATACGTAACAAGCAAATTGACGATTACTGTAAAAGAAGAGACTTTTACGAGTGTATCTGAATACGGTTCAGTATACCGAATATTATAAAACAAGTAAAGAGAGGGTTTTTTTGTAAAATTATTTTTTACCACTCGTATAATAACTACTCCGTTGTGGCTGATGGACCTTATTCACAATGAGTCTGTGATGGAAGTTTAAGTTTATGTTGCATGTGAGGCCTCTTTTTTCTTTGTCGAGTATTTTTTTCGAAGGTCATTGTTTGGGTTTTCTTTGTTTACACGCGTGAAGTAGAATAGAAGAGTTTGTCCGTCCGTAAGTAAATACTTTGTAGTAGCCTTGTTAGATCGTACATTTTTCTTGGTACATTCAGATAATAGGTAGGAGTATAAACTGAAATATCCTGATGCTACAATAATAGTTATTAAATTGTCTAAGTATGATTTGGATATTATTAATGAAGTTCTTATTTATCCTAAAAAAATATCTGTTGTAAAAGAAAATAGTTGCATGTGGTTTGAGTTGTATACGTGCAAGTACGATGGGACCACACTAGAAAGTTGAGGTGGGGCGTGGATCAAGCCGAGTGGTTCAGTGTGGGCCATGAAGTGGGGTCATAGGATAGGGCCACGTGTCCATAGGAATGCGGATCCTTCTCGTTCTGTTCTGTTCTAACGCCGACTCATGGTGAAAATTTTTTAATTGTGACGCAAATACAAGTGATGCATCGTTTGTCTTAATAGAAATTGTGAGAAAATTTATTTTTTAAGTTATTAATTTTATAGCATATATATCCTATAATTTATATAATAACATGTAATATATCATTCTGTGTACTAATCACACAGAAAAATCTCTCCGAGATGGTCCCTTCCCATCGTTCTAGGAGTCCAGGCTGTCCCGTCCTTTTTCATTTTTTCATTTCAAAAATTTTAAATTTCAATTAAGAAGAAGGAATATAGTAATGTAAATGAGGTAATAAACGAAATTTTTTTAGTATGTCGAGAACATAAAATTTAAACAAATAAAAAAATATAATGTGTTACTAAGATGTTAAAAATAAGTATTTAAAATATCAAAAGCTTATTGGGTTTAAAAAAATACATAGTTTTCTCTTTGGAGTGTATTTGGACTATTTATGGGATTAAACAAGCGTGCGTTTGACATCGTTGGAAAACTTAAGTAAATAGACACATATAGTATGGTATTGGGAATATAAGAACGAATACTCAAAAGTTCAAAACTTATTGGGTATAAAAAATACATAGTTTTTCCTTTTTGTATTTTATTTGGACTTTTTTCTACATTCATAGTATCAAATAAGTATGTATTTGGTATCCTTTGAATTTCTAACCAATTGAATTATGTCGCTTAATGTACCAGATCATATTCCGGCTTACTGAAAAATCTCTTCTAACAAACAAGGGCTAAACCTTGCATATTAGGCTCTTCTGGTTGTAATATTGTTGGGCTCCTCACCCAATTTATTAGACGAGGTAAACGGGTTGGGTCAGTGCACATCTAAAAGGCCGATTTAAATTTTACCAAACGGGCTCATAAACGTATCAAGTCCATAGCATGCATGATGTATGTGCGCCGGGAAAAGCCTAGAACATGTGTACTCAAAAGGCACTGGTTGGATTTGGAGATTCCATTATTCAAAAGGCTTTTTCAAATTTTTTTTTTATTTTTTACAGTGATATGAAATGAGACTTCTCACTTATAATATGAGAGAAATAATAGTTGATCGTAACTTTTATGATTTGTAATCGATTTTTCAAGGGTAGACTCGTTTTAGCACTTCTACCATAATCCCTTAATCATACCAACCACCCATTTTCGAGCACTTATCACGCTTCTTTGAAGGTGAATGATTGATGTTAGAGTTTTATGCGTAGATAATATTAAGATGAGTTTACTTTTTAAAAGGTGATTAAGTGATCAATTATAACGAAATTAACATCACATATGATATTTGATCAAAACAAAACTAATAGGAGAAATACATGAAAAAAATTGAAAGTGCGGAAAATCACCACCTTAAAACAATATAGACGAAATAGTGAGTTTGGAATAATACATTTACAATTTTTCTTCAAAAGGCCCAAAAAGTCAACGGTATGAAATACATATGATTATGATTGAATTGAAGAAATATAATTTTTTTCTCAACTTGTCAATTTAATAAATAAGAAGTCGAATTATTTAAAAGTCGGAGTATCGATAACAAATCCCATGAAGTAACCTAAAAAGCCAAGGGAAAAACACCACAGTGAGGCGACGTCTACATGGTTCGAATAAGTAGTCGTTTAGACTCCAACCAACTGGTGCCAAATTTAAAGCAAAACAACGAAAGCGGTACTCTGTCGCAAAGCAGGGTCGGCCGATCCCAACTCCGGCGTTTCAAACTCTCTAAAACTACAATAAAGTTGGATACTTCATAGAGTTTATGTCACTCCGCAAATGCCCAGTTCTCCTTCTTCCTTTTTTCTAGTTCTGAAATCGCGCTTTCAAGTCCCGCCTTCACAAAGTCGTAAGCTTGGATATCGGTTTCTGGTTCCGATGGAGCTTCCCGTACTTATCAAAACAAACTTTGTTTAGCTGATTGGATTAGACTATGAATTCTACGAAATGGTTTCTCTTAGATTTGATCAATAAATGCAGTGGCTTCCGGAGTTTCAAGCAAATCCATGCACAGATTTTAGCTTCTGGGCTAGCTTCCAATGACTCGGTTGCAAGCAGCGTCGTTGTATTTCTTGGAAAATCAGTTACTTCTGTTGATTACGCTTGTGATTTTTTGAAACAAGTTGATTGGCGCGAGAGCTCGTTTCCGTTCAACTTGTTGATCTCCGGCTGTGCGAGCGGAGACGCGCCGCGGGCGGCCTATTTGGCATTTAGAAGGATAGTGAGAGATGGGTTTTCACCGGATATGTTTACCGTCCCGGCGGTTATGAAATCTTGTGTGAAGTTTTCCGGGAAGGGAGAGGGCAGGCAGGTTCATGGTGTGGTTCTGAAGATGGGGTTTCAATGTGATCTTTATGTGCAGAATTCGCTTGTGCATTTCTATAGCGTTTGTGGGGATTGTGGTAGTGCGGTCAAGGTGTTTGATGAGATGCCTGAGAGAGATGTGGTGTCTTGGACTGGCTTGATATCTGGGCATGTGAAGTCGGGATTGTTTGATGAGGCTATGTCGTTGTTTTCGAGGATGGATGTGAAGCCGAATGTGGCAACTTTTGTTAGTGTGCTTGTGGCTTGCGGGCGGATGGGGTATTTGAGTGTGGGGAAGGGGATTCATGGATTGATCTTTAAGCGTTCGTTGGGGACAGATTTGGTGGTAGGCAATGCTGTCTTGGATATGTATGTAAAGTGTGAGAGTTTATGCGATGCAAAGAAATTTTTTGATGAGCTTCCTGAAAGGGATATTGTATCTTGGACGAGCATGATAAGTGGATTGGTGCAGTGTAAACGTGCAAGAGAGTCATTAGAGTTGTTCTGCAACATGCAAAGTTTAGGCATCGAGCCTGATAAAATTATACTTGCTAGTGTGCTTTCAGCTTGTGCCAGTCTTGGGGCTCTTGATTATGGAAGATGGGTGCATGAGTATATTGATCGTAAGGGTATCCAGTGGGATGTCCATATCGGAACATCTCTGATAGACATGTATGCGAAATCTGGCTGTATACAGATGGCATTGCAGACTTTCGACGAATTGCATTGTGGGAATGTCTCTACGTGGAACGCATTGTTAGGTGGTTTAGCAATGCACGGACATGGGCACGAAGCGCTGAAAAATTTTGAAGAAATGACTCAGTCTGGACCTAGACCGAATGCAGTGACATTTCTAGCCATTTTGACTGCCTGCTGCCATGCTGGTTTGGTTGATGCAGGCCGTCGGTACTTTTATCAGATGATAAGCCAACCTTACAATCTTTCCCCAAAGTTAGAACACTATGGATGCATGGTTGATCTGCTCTGTAGGGCTGGACTCCTGGGTGAAGCTCGGGAGTTGATAAACACGATGCCCATGCAACCAGATGTGCTGATATGGGGAGCTCTCCTGAGTGCTTGCAAGGCCATAGGTAACGTTGAGCTCTCTCAAGAAATATTAGACCGTCTCCTGAAACTTAAGTCGCAAGATAGTGGGGCTTACGTGCTTCTATCAAACATATATGCCACAAATAGAAGATGGGGGGATGTAACAAGGGTAAGGAAGTTGATGAAGAAGAAAGGAATACAGAAGTCCCCCGGATCAAGTGTTATAGAGGTCGATGGTAAGGCTCATGAATTTGTAGTTGGAGATACCAGCCACCCTCGAAAGGACGATATCCATATACTATTGGATATCCTTGCTAAACAAGTCTATCTTGAAGGGATTTTTCCCATCCATTCCTGATAAGATAGGTATTTACTATCATTTTTCTCTTTCTTTATGTTATAAACTCTGATACTTTAGGAAGTGACCTAGCGGGTATTCGATGATATGAAGAATATTCCTATATAAACTTGAAATTTTGCAAGGATTAGATTTAGGAAGCAAAATATGAGACTACATAACAAGTCAAGTATGAAAGGTTCTGAAACTCTTTTGAAATGGAAAGGTTCTGAAACTCTTTCTGTGAAAGAATGAAACATTTGTTTTCCCCTGACAATTAAAATTCCATATGTACAGAATCTTGTCTGCAATGATGTTTAATATCCTACACTTCAGGACCAATTAGAATAAACAAATGTATAGTTATAGGTACAGATATAGATTTTACTTATACTTCAACTGTTTTCTGATTAAGAGCTGTATATCTCCATCTCTCCTTCTCCACAAAGTCTGCATCCAGGAACTGTGCAATAAAAGTCCAAAGCCTGTATACATCTTCAAAGTTGGCCAAGAATCCGAGTGCAGCTGTAACCACGGTAATTCCTAGATCAGGTTTCGTCCTGGACTTGTTAGCATCCGTTCCCTTCGCTCCGCTTTCTCTTTTCTCCAGGATTCTCCCTTTCTCTT